AACACACTGTGGTATTTTTCTCTGTAAAACAGAAACGGTGAGAAGTCATGGAGAGTGGGTGCGGGAAATCGTGTTTTCCCTGACAGAAGTTAATTCTAAACTAAGTATTCCCCCGCAAGAAAGGCAGAAAAACATTTTTACATGTCTATCATTTGTCCTCAGAGGACTCAAAACAAATATGTTTCTTAGTACTTGACACCAGCATTATTCCGGCGGCCTCGGGGTATGTGTTTTCTAGTTGATGGAGCTAGGGGATAAGGAAACAGCACCGCTGTTCCGCGTTAGGGGGAGCACGTCCCACAGGTTAATCGGAACCAGCAGAAGGGTCCAGAGCCATGGGTGGACAGGCGGTGGAGGGGGCCAAAGTCAGCCAACCCCACAAGGCCCAAACCAGCCACTGCTCCGGGGTCCAGCAGCCGTCTCTGCCTGGAACTAGCTGCTCTGTGGGCCCGCTGGGGTACTTGGAGCATTTTTAACAGGGACTGCTGAGCCTATGATTTCATGAGTATCAACTTGGCCCTAAGGAACTCCCTTCTATCACGCTTACTTTTCAAAAGTGAATTGTGGTCCAGATATTGATCAGGAGCCAAGGCCTCTTCTGTTTTCCGTTTGGGGTATCTGCCAATGCGCTTGCATGTATAGACGTACAACACATCTGCACACTCATGCAAGCATACAAACATTTACATGAACACCCACCATACATGGGTAGACACACCTGCACTATTTATAGGTGAGCTCACACTGACAACGCATACCCACAGTATGCACTGTAACACAAATAGATATACAATGCATGTGTACTGTTTGCACATGTCCCCCAAAACCCACTGCATGAGCAGACATGTGTGTGCATGTGTCCTCATACATGTACACTACACACACACACCAGACATGAACACCTTTTGCTTTTGCGAACATACCATCCCACACCACAATGGCCTAATGCACACGTGTGCACACACGGGCTGTGTTCTTCTAAACAAGGCCTGGTAGGCTACCTACAAGCTCTTCCCTTGAGGTCTGCATTCTTTCCCAGAGAAGCCTGAGAAGCCATTGTGGGTCATTGATCTGACACTGGGCTCTGGGCTCCATGGTCCCGAGTGGCCTTTTACAAACCAAAAGGGCAGTCACCAGTACTGCCTGTACGCATGTGTGCATTACAGTACTGTTCCTGAGCAGGCTTGTCCCTCTGGGCTGCGTCCACATGACCAGTTGCTGCCTATCCCTGGCTGCTAGTGTGAGGGAGGGAGGGTGAGGATTGGTAAGGCTGGGTTCCTTATCAGGAAGGGGATGTGGGGGCCCTTTAAAGCGGCCCGAGTCCAGAGGCTTGTGTTTGGTGCCTGCTCCATGGCTGACACACTCACCTATAAATAATGGTGGTGACAGGTCCCCTGTCAGCAGCCGCTGATGGACGGCTCCTTCTCCTGCCATTACAGCCTTGTGACTGTGGGAAAATTAATTTAAGTGGTAGTTAATTTCTAATGAATTCCATTCAAGCGGCTAATACAGTCCCTCGGTGTTATGGTAACCTTCACGGATCATTGCATTATGTAAATAAATTCTACTTTATGCTGGTTTATTAAAAAAAAGAGAGAGTAAAGATTGGGAAGTCTGGGTTAAGTCTCACACAGTCACACAAACAACCCACGGTGGCTGGAAACTCTTTAAAGGGGAAAATACAAGCCACTCTGGAGCCTGTCCAAGAAAGAGCAGCCACAGGATGACGGGATCATCTATTTTTAGGGCTTTGCATGCACAGGCTCTTTTCTGCCTGAATCCATGTAGCTTATGTTGTGTTCCAAAGAGAGGGTTTCTACCTTAATCACAGCAAACTTGCCTTGTACCCTAGGGAGTGTCTTGATTTTAATACCTAGGTGTGTGTGGGGGCGGGGAGTCTAGGCAAGGCTTGTCCTAGGTGCAGGTGGAAGGGGCTTGGCTTCAATTCACACTTAGAAGAGGAGAGTGCCATCAGGAACAGAGCCTTGACATCTCTGTGTAACGTGTAGTGTGTGGTTTGAGGTATGTGGTGTGGTAATAGTGTGTAGTGTGTGTGTGTTGGGCAAGGAGTACTCCTGAGGCAGTCTTGAGAAGAGGAGCAGACCATCTTTCCCTAGTTTAGGGACTTGCTCACTCACCAGGCAGGGGCAGCCCAGCCCACAGATCACAGGAGACACACAGGGGGTCTGGTGGTTGCTGCACACAGAAGAGTCCAGAAACCACTCCAGCCTGAGTGTTCATTCTCACCCACAGTGAAGCCCTTCCTTGTCTTCTACTCTACTCTTTAGCTCTGCCCCCATCATTCTTGGCAGGTGTTCAGCTTCTTGGTGGTGTGCGTAGCATTAAACACCTCTCTACCCTGATACTGTCCCGTCCTGCCATGGTTCCTGGCTTCTCCTCACCTACGTATGCCTCCTTCACACAGCTAGTGCTGACTCTTATTCTTGGGGGGGGGGGGGGACTACGGACTGGGGTCCTGCAGCCCATAATTTTCAAGATCATTCATTCTGTTTTCCTCTAGTACAATATTCAGACCATCCAGAGAGGGTTCCTAAAATAATAGCCACCATGGTAGGTGGTGGCTCATCAGCAAACTCATTCAGGGTTTTCCACACCACAGCCAGTCTTAAAAAGCCTTTCTCTGTCACTGTATAAAGAGGTTCCTAGGCTCTGGCCCTCTCTGCCTAAATAAGGAATATACAAGCCATAGCCATGGGTTGCCAAGAACAACATACACGAGTATTGTTTAACATTAAGAAGTGTGCATTTGAAACAGTGAAAGTAAGCCATAAAAAGTTTATCTTGTAATGTTATAATTTTGCTATTTTGTATGAGGTCTCATTCATAGTTTTCTCGGGCTATGTGTCTCGTAGGCTATGGTGAACTCCCACGGGCACTAGTATCCTGCTGATATGTTAGAGGGGCAAACATGCTGATGGGCCCTTTGGGAGCTGTGCTCATGAAACCTGAGATCTGACTGGAGGGCACAGGAGGCATCAGTCAGTGATACTCACCTGGCTGAAGATCCCAGAGGGAGGGCAGTTCTGCTCAGTGTCCAGCACTGAAGCACGATTAATAAAAAACTCAGGGTCAGAAATTGGGGTTCAACCTGAAGATCCAAAAAGCGAAACAGCCCGTCACTGGCTGTTTCCTCTACCTCCCTCTGAAGGAGCGACCTTGCCTCCTGGAATCTCAGAATGAGACTGTGTGTTGAGAGCTGTTTCCTTCTGTTATATATTTCTCTCTAGGGCTGGGATTAAAGGCATGCACCACTGGGATTAAAGGTATGCACCACCCAATTTCTATGGCAACTATTGAGGCTACTAAGATTAAAGGTGCATGTCATTGTGGCTACTGGGATTAAGGGTGTATGTCATTGTGGCTACTGGGATTAAAGGTGCATGTCATTGTGGCTACTGGGATTAAGGGTGTATGTCATTGTGGCTACTGGGATTAAAGGTGTATGTCATTGTGGCTACTGGGATTAAGGGTGTGTGCTACCATAACCTGGTCTGCAAGGCTGACCAGTGGGACTGTTTTACTCTCAGATCTTCAGGCAGTCTTTATTAACTTACAATTGAAATGCTGCTACACAGTACCCAGGGAAGACAGAAGATTAGGGATGGTGTCTTGGTTTGCAGGTTTTCATCTGGACATTACTGCTTACAAGGTCTAGTCAGAACACTGTGAAGCTGTTCCAGGGAAAGGAACTAAGGGAACTAACGTTTCTACCACATTTTATCTGAAGAATTCAATGCTTTTCTGAGAAAACAAGCTGAGTAAATTAAGGCTTTAAATTTTTAAATTTAGAAAAAGTACAGTATTTTAAGACTTAAATTTTTCATCATGACAAAAAATAAAAAATTCCTCCTGTGTCCCCAGACTCTCCTCCAGGCTTCATGCTCACATGTACGCTCACACATGCCCTTCAAAATGCAACAGATCACAGCACATGGTTTTCCTGACTCCCTTAAAAATACATTATTGCCAGGATCCCTCTTCAAAGCCCTTGTCTGTAGGGTTTCTGCCTACACCTAACTACTCACCAAGTATTGTATGACCCCAGGATGGCCATCTCCTGTAACCACCCACTGAAAACATCTCTGATTTCATGACACTCCAGGAAAATAATCCAGGGTACCAGTAGCTACAGCACGAATACTAATTGTTCTTAACAAAAACCCAGAGTCAGATATTAAGGGGTGAAAGCCGAGAGATCAGAGCAGGGCAGTCAGTCACTAGAGAGACCTTTTACCTCTACGGAATCCTCAGACCAAAAGGGTGATCCTGTTCTGAGCCTGCATCCTCTGAGTGACTGCTTCAGAGGACATCTCCAGACTGCACTGAGCTCCTGACTCCTCCACCTTTACATCCCTCTCTCAGTCCAGCCATATCACTCTTATCTCCACCTTCCTAGTTAGTGCTGGATTAAGGTGTGTGATCCTAAGTGCTGGGACCACCTTTGTAAGAGCTCTGGTTCTTTTAGACAGATTCAGGCTCACATAGTCCAGGGTGGCCTTGAACTAACAAAGAACCCTCTGCCTGTCCCCGAGTCCTGGGATTAAAGGTGTGTGCCACCACTGCCTGGCCTCTAGTGACTTAGCTCTGCATTGACCTTCAGGCAAGCTTTATTAAGACAAACAAATATTACTACCAGTAGCAACCAGGTATCACTCCCTATAGGTAACAGAGGGTCCACAGCACTGAGCGTCAGACTCACAGGGCCACAAAACATGCTGTGGTCTGGGATGTTAGTAGTCTACACAAGGTGAACCTGAAATTCACTGGACTAAAGAGATTTTAAACCACAAAAGGGCACAGGGCCAAAGATCTACTCCAAAAGGAAGACAAGCCCAGCCCCACTTTTTAAAACTAATGAATGCAAGTTTTGGGAAAAAAAAAAAACCCCACTGGTGTCCTAATGCTCCCTTCAGAAGCCAGAAGCTTTATCATTTTCGTTGAGCTAAAATGGGCGAACCTCTTCTTGAAAGCATGAATTTGCTGGTATAAAGAACACTACCACTCCAGAGTTTCAGGGCAGTCACGACAAACATTTTTAATTGGTTTCTGAAAGACATCTCTATGTAAACAAGGTTTTCCTTGAGTAAAGGTTGGGATAGGTGTTACCCAACAACACCATTTATTTTTAAGCTGGGATTGCTGTGCTCCCCACAGGAGCCTCCCGGTTCAGTTGGTTTCTTAGAAGCGCTTGCATTCTGCCGCTTTTGATGACGGAACACCAGGGAGGCAGAGGCAGGAGGTTGTCGGCAAGTTTCAGGTCAGCCAGGGCTATGGAGCCAGATCTTGTCTCAAGAGTTAAAGTCAGCTTAGTATTCCTATTTCTTTTGTCCTCCAGCTCCACACAGTTCCAGGAAGAGCAGCAATCCTTTCCCATCTGCAGTTCTGGTCTGGCTAGGTTTGAAGGAATTGGGCAATGACTGGGGTTAAACGGGTGAGTTCAACAAAACTCTAAGGCCCACAGATCTTCGATTACAGAACGCTTACATTTATTTTTCTTTGATACGGCGAAACGAACTTCCTATGAACATATGCCCTCACATTTGCCTCTGCTTATGCCTGGGGTTGGTCTTGCAGAGGACGAACCAGCGCCCACGCCTCTTCACCATGTAGCAGTCCCGGCATCGCTTCTTGAGGACACCCTTGGTCTTGAAGCCCAGCGAGGGCTGCAGGTGCGGCAGGGGGCGGGCCCAGAGAAGCGAGCGCACCTCTGCGCAGGGTCTGGCGCTTGGAAGGGTCCCCAGCAGGAACGAGGAGAAGGCCCGCGGCTTCACCGCGAGGCGACTCAGGTGCAGGAGCGGATCCATGAGCGAAGCCACCGCGCTTCTCACAAGCAGGGCAGCCATGCTGAGGCGAGACCTGTGGGGACAGAAGCGCGGTCACCGGCGGCTGAACGTCTGCCTATCCATCCCTATACCCTCCCTTGCGGGGTTACTTGGAGTCAGAGGTCAGACAGAGCACACTTGCCAGGCTTGCACGCATGGCTCCGCGTTCCCATGTGCCCCTCTGGCGCGCTCCCGGGAAGCCACCAGGACCCCCTGCTCGCACTCCGGCTATCAGCTCTGCCACTCGCCTCTGCCTGCCGCCCACGGAACGCAGACCCACACCTGGGAACGGGTGCCACCCGCCACGATCGCCTGCTTACACGGTCTCGGGCGCCCGTTTACCCAAAGCTTCCGCGTCTGCGCAGTAGGGCGGGACGCCACGGTCAAGAGGATGGCGTGGAGTCACGTGGGATCACAGCCCCTTGGAACGGAAGACCCAGACGCAGGCTTCCGGAGTTACAGCCCTCTCTGTCCTTAGCCTTCTCTGGTCCTGATTCAGGGTCCTGTAGGCTAGCACTCCCCTGGAGTTGCTGGAACCACTGTGGATTGGGAACACTGGTGCCCACGAGAAGACAAAAACTAAGTGCAAAATGCAGACTTAGACTGAAAAGGAAACTGCCAGCTGCGAAAAAAATATGTATATATATATAAATGTATAATATATAAATAGATTTCTTATATATTATACATTTATATCATAAATATATTTACATATTTATTATACATATACATAAGTGTATATCTATAAATATATAATTTTCACACGCACACATTATATATATTTGACAAAATGTACAGGTTACACGTTTCCACTAAGTGACATTCAGGCACACATGGGAAAAGGCCAGGAGAGCAGGAACAGACACTTCTCTAGCTAGTAAGTAAAGTCCTCCATGCCCCCAAACTATGAAAAAGCTTCAAGAGTTTGACCATAAACTCCCACACCGCCACTGGCTTCCAGGTAACTCTCTTCTATCCCGGATTTCAGGTAGTTCATAAACCCATCCACCTTTTTTTTTTTATGTGGGTTACCATCAAGGCCACCCCTCTGGCTCCCAGTCCCACAGATCACACAAAGTTCGCTCAGCGCATCTCGGTACCTGGTCATGGGAATGCCTTGACCCCAGAGTTCTGTGATTTAAAAATAATGTGGGTCACAGAGATGGCTTGGGAGTCAAAACTGCTTGTTATAGAACTCGAAAGCCTAAGGTCAATCCCCAGAACCCATGTGGAAGAAGAGACCGACTTCTTTCACATGGGTTCTGTGGCACACGCGTGTGTGTAAACCCATGTGTGTATGAACATGCAGAATAAGACATTTTAAAAAGAGACAAATCGGGGCTGGGGAGATGGCTTAGTGCACTGCTTCTCAGCCTTCCTAAGGCTGCAATTCTTTTTTTTTCGAGACAGGGTTTCTCTGTAGCTTTGGTGCCTGTACCGGAACTAGCTCTCATAGACCAGGCTGGCCTCGAACTCCCAGAGATCTGCCTGCCTCTGCCTCCCAAGTGCTGGGATTAAAGGCGTGCGCCACCACCGCCCAGCTTGCAATTCTTTAATACAGTTCCTTATGTTGTGACGACCCCCCCAACCACGATTATTCTATTTTCCTTGCTACATCATAACTATAATTTTGCTACAGTTATGAGTTGTAATGCAAATATCTGATAGGCAGGATATATGATATACAACCTCGTTGTAAAAATTGCTTGACCGCAAAGGGGTGCACCTACAGGTTGAGAACCCATGGCCTAGCGGTTTAAGATCGTTTGTTTGCTCTGGGAGAAGACCATCATTCTGTTCCCAGAACCCACACAGCGGCTCAAACCATCTGTAACTCCACTTCCAGGAGATCCGGAGCCTTCTTTCTGGTACCAGGCACCCACACATATGGCCAGACATAGATGCACACACGTAGACACGCACAAAAAAAAAATAGATCCTTTAAAAAGAGGGAGAAAAACGAATCTGCAGAACGGGGCGCGGTGGTGTAAGCCTGAAACACCAGCAGTCTGAAGTCAAGGCAGGAAGGTGGTGAGCACAAGGCTAGCCTGGGTTACATAGCTTAAGGCTAGCCAGGGTAATTCAGATCCACATTTGTTGGGGCAACTTTCAGCTTTGTAAGGCGTGTGTGTGTGTGTGTGTGTGTGTGTGTGTGTGTGTCCTGTGTCTTTCTGCCCTCTCTGGTCATCTTCACTTGTTTTAGACTCACTAAGCACAGAAAGAGCCAGGTCATCAGTCTCCATCCCTGGCCGAGGAATCCTAAGCTCATACTAATTTCTGACACTTTCTTGGAATTAGTGACCCACCCCTGCTCTGCGTCTGGGGTCTCCCTCCATCCTGTCCACATCTGAGCAAAGTTGCTCCCTCTAAGGTCTGACAGTGTATGACGTTCTGGCTCAGATTCAAGTGAGACAGGGGAGCGCGCTCCAAAGTTACAGAGGGCGATTTGCATCTGGTCTACTTGGAGCTTTTCAAGGCTGGTTTTCCAAGCTGGGTAAAATCGCCTGCAGTCTAACCGGAAACTTTATTTATTAGCTCCGTGCTGCAAAAAATGTTCAGAAAGCTCCCTTTCCAGCCCCAACACACACGACCAGGAAAGCTGAGTGCATGTCCTGTGTCTTCTGCTGAATAATCTCTTTCTTTACTCAATAAATAATATTGAAATGTTGCATTTTCTCCATCGCCATAAGAGCGAGCGCACACATCGCACCTGCAGTTTCCATCTCCCTTGTCGCTGTGGCGCAGGAGCAGAACCGGCTTGCCAACCGGCCGGCCCAGGAGCTCCACTTCACGAGGGCGAAATAAGTTCCTCCAGCGAAGTCCCTCCGCCAGCCTGTGCGCCTGCGTCGGCGCTCCGTACGCCGCGCGGGGTCAGGGGTCACCGGGAAGATGGCGGCGGCGTTGACCTTCCGCCGGCTGCTGGCTCTTCCCAGGGCTGCGCGGGGTTTCGGGGTGCGAGTGTCGTCGAGCGGGGAGAAGATCACGCACACCGGCCAGGTAACGGCCGCCGCCGCCGCGCCTGGAGCCCGAGACTGACGGTGGCGGGGCGCCTAGCAAGGTGTGCTTCTGCCAGGCGCGCTCGCAGCCCTTGCTGGGCTCACCTTGGGGTGCAGCCCGCAGCCCCGCTCTGACTGTAGCTGTGACCTCCGGCCGGGAGTCGGTGTTCACTCGTTCTTTGGGTCGTATCTTTGTATTGAGGTCCACGTTTTAGCAATAGGAGATAAAGCAACCCTAACGCTCAATATAATGGCGAACAAACAATCAAAGGAGGAGGCGGCAGAAAGGAGCACTGTCTCCTGAAATGTCGCCTTTTGGAATGGGCTGTCTGAAGGCAGGGGCTTGTCTCCAGTCTGCACTCCTGTCCGTCATTCCCGTGGGGATTCCTTCAGTACAAGCACGCTGCCTTTTGGTGGGTCTTCTCATCAATGGCTGTGGGCCACAGGGAACATTGTCCTGTAGTGTTTGGGATCAATATTAAGTGACGTCACTCAGAATTTAGTTGTAAAGTAATAGATTTTTTTTTCCTTTTACAGGTTTATGATGAAAAAGACTACAGGAGGATTCGGTTTGTAGATCGTCAGAAAGAGGTAAGTGAAGCGAATTCTGCACCTGTCTGGGGGTGGGCTGTAATGAAAACACAGACGCAGTGACGGTACACACATAAATACCTTCAAACACTATATAAGAAACAAGTGGTTTTCACGTTTGTACTTGGACCCATCTTTGAAGTGGCTCATGTCTAAGAAAATATTCTCAAATCTGAGGTATTGACTGGTCCCAGGCTTCTCGTGGAGCTGGTATTTAGTGTGCGCCAGATCCTAAGCGTCATAGAGACCCAGGGCCCTAAATGTAAATTGTGTAAACTCCCCGCTCCCCTCAGAATGCACAGCATCCTGTGACGGTAGTTCAGGTGTCCGAAGCCTCATCTTATTTTCAGTCTGGTACCTGTCCTGGTGGTTCTATTGCTGTGACAAAACACCATGACCCAAAGCAGCTTGGGGAGGAAAGGGTTCTTTTCACTCTGTAACTCTCAGCTCACGTTCCTGAGGGTAGTCAGGGCAGGAGCTGATAGAGACCATGGAGGAATGCTGCCTACTGGCTTGGTGTGCTCAGCCTGTTTTCTTTGGGCACCCAGGACCACCAGTCAGTCTAGAGGTGGCACTGCCTACGGTGAGCTGGGCCCTTCCATATCAGTCATCAAGAAAATGCCTCCACAGACCTGCCTGCAGGCCAGTCCTATGGGGGCGTTTTCTCGATTGAGTCGTTCTTCCCAGATGACCCAAACATATGTCAAGTTGACGTAAAACTAGCCAGCACAGTACCTCCTACATTAAAAAAAGACACACCATTAAAATTTACTGTTCTGATGACTTATTGAGGTAATACTTTTATAGTTTTCGTCAAATAGACCATGCTATGTTCTCCCAGAATAACTTGGGTAGGTTCAGTCCCCCACACAGGGAAAGGTCATTTAGTTCATACCAGTATGACTGCTGCTAGGGTTGGCTGTATCTGGATTTTTGTCTGAGGACTGTGGGTAACAGGATGCTGGGCAGTTAGACCAGATCTATAAGAAGGGTAGGAAGTGCTAAGGAGAATCCTGGCTGGCATGACTGGAGGGGTTTGATGCCTACAAAGGACCAGGGTCTAGGTCTGTGATGTGTGGTCATCTCTGCCACCTGTCCTTGCCCTGTAAGAAAGGCCAGAAGTCAGGTCTAGTGATCTGGGGCAGGTGTACATTGGGATCCCTAAATGCTGCATCTCTGCCACCTGTCCTTGCCCTGTAAGAAAGGCCAGAAGTCAGGTCTAGTGATCTGGGGCAGGTGTACATTGGGATCCCTAAATGCTGCATCTCTGCCACCTGTCCTTGCCCTGTAAGAAAGGCCAGAAGTCAGGTCTAGTGATCTGGGGCAGGTGTACATTGGGATCCCTAAATGCTGCATCTCTGCCACCTGTCCTTGCCCTGTAAGGAAGGCCAGAAGTCAGGTCTAGTGATCTGGGGCAGATATACCTTGGGGTCCCTGAATGAAGAGGAGGCAGAGCACTTGGTTATGTGATTGTCAGGCACGCACTGAGGACAGATAATCCTGTGCTGGGATGTGGTAACAGCAGCCTTGTCGACAGTTGAGGACTTTTGGTGTTACTGGTGTCATATTCTGGGCTGCCAGGCTGGTGTGCTTCTTCCTCTGGAGCTCAGCTCTTCACCTCTGGGGCTGGTGGCCACCCAGTGGTCACAGACAAGGACAGCACGGAAAGTGCCACGGAGCCCTTGCTTCACTTAACTGCCTCTGCCCTCACCCTTGGAAAGTGGTGTCACTTGCAGTTTGAAACTAGGCAGTTGGGTGGAGTATAGGACACCTGGAGATGGGGTCTGCTGTGCACAGGTATGTGCTGATTTTCTGTTGTCAAGGTCGAGAAGCAGACCTCATAAGGGACATACTCTCCTCTGAGTTTAGAAGGCTTAACCTATCATAAATTCTGGTTATAAGTCAGGATCTCAGAGGACGGTATTGGTTATAAATTCATAACCCCCACCTGGGTCCAATGGTTGCAGCTTTTCTCCAAAGCAACAGGAAGTTTCAGCAGCCCGGGACCAAGGTGGATGTTGTATATACAAGATGGAGGCTACCGTAGGCACTACTCCAGGTATGCCTGTGGTTTACAGGCCGCACACATGTGAACATACATTGTCTGAATCATAATTGAACAAGCTTTGAGTTTATTTTACACTGATACCTTCTCTCCATGGAGCTCACATCTCACAGCCTGGGATAGTCACCTGGGTCACTGCTTCAATGGTGCATCAATCTTGATGTATTTCATAGTATCCTGCTTTATCTTTGATAATTCGGTCTTGGTTTGAAATAAAGGAATGTATTTTCTGTAGGAAACCAGATCATAGGCAAATGAACCTCGGCTAAGCCAGCTGGCCATCGAGAAGAAAAGAAATGGTGACTCTTGAGTTTTAACTCACCCTGTGTAAAGGACACACTTCACAGTGTTGGATGGTCGAGGCACTGTGACAAGCCCTTGACAGTTCTCCCGGGGCCTGAAGCGGGCAGAGCCTGATTGAACACAGTGCAGATTTGGCATGTGGTTGGAGTGCTTACGACCGGGCTCTTTATATTCTTGCCTTGAACCAAGTTCCAGGAAGCAGATGTTAATCCTGGGAGGTCAGGGTGCCCTGGAGTGGTGATTAAATGACAGGAGGGCAGGCACTTGTCAGTCACCAGCGTGGAGGTGTCAGCTGTCCTTCCCACAAGGAGACGGCCAGGCTTTGCAGCCGCCTTGATGAATTCCTGAGCGTTTGTTAGTGCGGGCTTTGTGACATACTGTCACCTCGCAGACTCAGGATTCACACCACAGGGCTCCATTCGTATGGTCGCTGCTTTTCCCACACGGGGTGCACGGGGTGCATAGAACAGACAGCTTTCCCTGGCTGTTCTGGGTGCTGGTGTCGAGGAGCTGCCTAACTGTCAGAGGGACTGATCACAGTGGAGTGTGCTCATGGGGGACTTTCTTCCTGTGTTCATGGACGACTGTATGTGGGAAGCTTGGAATCACTGCTGGAGAAGATGTCTGATGTCTTTTTGCTGCAGCGTGCCACCATTTCCAGTGTCTTCCATAGTGTTACAGAGCTGAACCTCAAAGTAGAGACTTACCAAGGGGTAATCTATAATTCATAATGTGCCCTCAGGATATCCAGCCTTTTCCAGACATGCCTGTTTCTGAGTGTGGGTCTCAGGCATCTGAGGAGAGGGGCCAGCATCCTGTTTCTATAGTAGTGGTGTCTCCCCTGCACTCCTTTCTGAGTCAGATTTGGAGACCTCACACCAAGATTTACACCCCCCCCCCCATTCCCTGTCTATACCCCAGGGAGTGCAGGGACTGAACAGCCTCCGGTTCTGGAAGTGAATGGCTTTCTTGATGGACCTTAAGGCTGTTCTGCTGAGGTTCAAGATGGGAGATGCTGGGTGGCACATCCAGGAAGCTGAGTTGTGGCATAGACCTTCCATGCTCATAGCCAAAATCGCTTCAGAAGTGGCTGATCACCCTCCATGGCTTCAAAAAACGGCTGGAGAAGGGAGGACAGAATTTTGCTCGTGGGCCTGGTGTGCTAAGAGGTCGTGTGTACACAGTCAGAACAGATTGCAGCCCTCAGATAATGTGTAGTTTTCTGTGTGCATGTATAGATATTGGGGCTCCAGGTAAAACCCTAGATGTTGGGGTTCTAGGCTGCAGTTTGGAATATTACCACCCTAGATGTTGGGGTTCTAGGGTGCACTTTTGGAGTATTGCCACCCTACATGTTGGGGTTCTAGGGTGCACTTTTGGAGTATTGCCACCCTACATGTTGGGGTTCTAGGGTGCACTTTTGGAGTATTGCCACCCTACATGTTGGGGTTCTGGGGTGCAGCTTTGGAGTACTGCCACCTTAGATGTTGGAGTTCTAGGGTACAGTTTTGGAGTATTACCACCGTAGATGCTGGGGCTCTAGGGTACAGTTTTGGAGTATTGCCACCCTACATGTTGGGGTTCTAGGGTGCAGTTTTGGAGTACTGCCACCCCTTCTCTATCTGAAAGTGAGCTGTGAGGCAGTCTGATATAGCCATAGCCCTGCCAGTCTCTGGGCTTTGCCCCATGGGTTCTATGCTTGGATGTTTGAGTCATTTTGAACCATAAGGAAGCAGTGAAGTGGGCAGGAGTAGTGTAATGGTTCCCTCTCCTCATTTGCTGGGCTTCCCCTGTCCTTAGTGGTGAGCTGAGGTAATGTCGAGGCACACAGAATGGCCTTGCTCTGTTCTGTCAGCATATGGTCCCACTATCCA